GCTGTTTTCTGCCGAGACTGTTGCACATTACTTTAGTTTTGTGCATAATATTTTTCAGACCTACTTTTAAGCTTTCCGTATCCAGTTCAGAAATCATGAGCTGCAATTTGTAAACAAACGGCAGACTTCGTAATTCAACTACTCTGGCGAGGCCTTTTACACTACTTTGATTCACCTCCATTCCTGATTGCACCTCCGACCTCATGCACACCACTGAGTTCCCAAAACTAAGCCCCGGAACCACTGAAAGGGGACGCATGGCTCCATCTCTTGACTCACTGGGCATACAGCAATTCAGCATTCGTAGCCTCTATGCATGGTTTGATGGATGTGGGAGTGTATGAACACTATAGCGGTTTCTTTATTAAAAGGCTGGTCAGTTCTTGAGCAATCGAGGAAGGAACTTGATTTCGGCTACATGTGCACCTCCTTTCTGGGTTTTCCTCGTGCGCAGCGGCGAGCAAGAGAAACTGTGCACGTCAAACACCTTATTCAAAAAGGGGCTTCAATTTCAAGTCGACGTACGGCGCCATCTCGTGACAGCTGAGGGACACAATGATTCGGCATTTGTTGCCTCATAGATTGGTGTACTCAGAAAAAGAGAGCAGTGAGTTTTTGTTCGCTATTTTGCTTTATCTTACCAGGCAGTTTCTAAACTGGACGAGTGAGTTGCACAGGTTAATAAGCAACTATTCTATCCTGTTTCTGTTTCGTTCCGCCGGAGGAAAAGCTTGCGTCACAGCATGAAATAGCTGTATGTCGTTCCCATGGGGCTTTTCCACAATTCGCAATGTAGAGGGGGGGGTCACGAGTGGGGGGGGGGGTTAAGAATTGGTGCCTGCTTGTAAGAGGTAAGGTGGTAGGGTGGGTGTAAACAGTTTGAAGGGGTAGTTGGATGAGGTTTTTGCGATCCTAACGGGGTGATGCTAGGGGGTCACTCGATTCCAGGAAAGATAAAAAAACGCGGTATACTGGTGTTTCCGAGTTTCCTCGTAATTTTGTCTCTTATGCAATCATGACCAGATAGCGCACAATTGCATATTGTTTTGAAATTGCGATCCTAATGTGGTGATGCTAGGGGCTCATTCGATTCCAAGAAAGATCAGAAAACGCGGTGTACTGGTGTCTCCGAGTTTCCTCGTAATTTTGTATCTTATGCCCGTATGGCCAAATAGCGCAGACTTGCATATTATTTTGGCATAAGAAAAATTTTGAACAAAGGAGCATCGCCGGGTGACGACGACCGTTTTACGAAGAGTGCGTTTTCGTGAAGTCGAGATAATGCAAACAGCGACGCAAGCTTTGCATCAGAAATGTTTTTCGGCGTAGCACACATAGCAGTAATGGAGAAATAGCCCACTTGATCTTCTCTAATTCTGGGCAACTTATCTATTTTTCAATATTTTTGAAAAACGTCATGTTTCTGAAACTCACTCGTTTTTGTGGGGTGCTATTTCTGTTTCTGTGAACGTCATAGCTTGTTCATATTTGCAGCACTGACAGTCCCGTATGTGAATGATTATTCCATGCATTTTGATTTTTGTAGTAACTTCTGAAGATATAAATTTTGTTGTTTGAAACATTAAGAAACAAAACTGTCGGTTAATTTAAAAATTGATAATAACAGGCCGCACTCTCAATTTTGTCAAAAGTATTTAAATTGTTCTCAGGAGACCGCCTTACTATATTCTGGAAAACATTTTGAATCATTTTGATCAGAACAAACTTGCAAATTTTCAAGCATTGTGTTCTTAGAACATGGTCGCGACCACGTAAATGACATCTCTTGTGGTCTGAAAATGCAATACTCGGTTGTTTGTTCTCTAATTTTTCGAACTGACAGTAATGTGGCATTGTTCGCGAGTGTAAAATGTTCTAAAAAATAAAAATAATGACCTCTTGAATGAAATGCGTCTATGTAGTTCGCAACTTCGCCTGTGTTCGTTATCAGTGAGTCTTATGTAAGAGAGAGAGAGAGATAAAGATGCAAGGAAAGGCAGGGACGTTAACCAGACGCACATCCGGTTTGCTACCCTGCACTGGGGAAGGGATAAAGGGGAGAAAAGAGGTTGCAGAAAGATGAGAAGGTACACACAATCACGAGCACACTCGGGGAGCACACACAGTCTATAGGCGGTCGCTCAGGTTTGTTGACTTTAGGTAAAGTAGCAGTGCTTTAGTTGCTTTCTGCGCAACTGAGGCAGATGCCCAAGGTCCTAGTATCTTCTGCACACAAAATGATCCGGGGTCAAGTTGATTCAAAACCATCCGGAGCTGGCATCGCTGTGTGTCGTAGCAAGCGCAGCTGCACAGGACGTGTTCGATGGTCTCTTCAGCTCCGCAGTAGTCGCATGTAGGAGTGTCTGCCATACCAATGCGAAAGGAGTACACCTTTGTAAATGCAACACCCAACCAAAGGCGGCATAACAGTGTCGCATCGGAGCGGGAAAGTTGTGATGGCAGCTTTAGCTTGAGCGAAGGATCCAGTTCATAAAATTGACACCTTTGGAAGCTGGTAGACTACCAGAACGTGCGTGTGAGATCTCGAGCCAGCAGGTAAAGTTGTCTTGCTGCATCATTCCTTGATAGAGGAATCGGGACTACACGGGTTTCTTCATGGGCTGAGCGGGCAGCATCATCGGCTAATTGATTTCCGGTAATACCGATATGTCCAGGCAGCCATTGATATATAATATCATGCCCTCGTGCTAGAGCTTCATGATGGCAATGTCTTATTTCTTGTACCACTTGGTCATGACTTCTCCTACGCATGGCAGACTGCAAACTCTGAAGCGCTGCCTTCGAATCGCAGATTATGACCCATTTTCCTGGACGTTCTTGAACGAGATATTGTAAAGCAGCCCTTATAGCAGCAAGCTCTGATGCCGTAGATGTAGTCATATGCGACAACTTAAACTTGATTGTCATTGCTGCAGCCGGAATTACAGCGGCACCTGATGAGCTGCTGGACGAGACGGACCCATCAGTGTATATCTGCGTTCGGTCTAAGTACAACTCATGTAATAATAGCAGTGTTGCTTGCTTCAATGCTACTCTGGAGTGATTGCTTTTCTTTTTGATTCCCGGAATTTCTAGACGTACTTGCGGCTGGTCGAGGCACCACAAAGGACATGCCATTCTCGCAGCTGGCGTATATCCTGATGGAATGCTGTTTAGGTGCTTGGCTATGACGTCTGAAAACGTAGCACCTGGTCTTCCGGAAGGTAGAAGGGCCAAGTGGTGGTCGGGGACACGGCTAGCATGTCGAATGTGCGCTCTGAGGCAATCCACAACTCTATATGTCCTGACCGGATGGTCTTTGGCAAGCATGATTGTGGCATAAGTAGAAGCGCATCGGGGCAGTCCTAGGCAGATACGCAGTGCCTGACCCTGCAAACTCTCCAATTAATGAGTATTCGATTTGGCAAGTGTTAGTCAGTACCGGCAAGCTGTAGCGCAATAGACCCAGAAATAGGGCCCTGTACAGCTGTAGCATGGAGGCCACAGAAGTTCCCCATGCTTTCCCGCACAAGAATTTCATTATATGCACAATAGATAGCAGTCTCTTCTTCAAGTACGCACTATGCGGGCTCCACGAAAGACTTCTGTCAATTATTATGCCCAGGAAACGATGCGTCCGTGCATATTTGACACTCTGCCCATTGATGTAAACAGGGTATGGCGTCATTGGTTTGCGTGTAAACGCCATCAACGCGCACTTCACAGTTGATATATTTAGGCCTTGTTTCTGAAGGTAGGCTGTTGTGAGGGTTGCTGCCCGCTGTATTCGTGCACGCACCTGAGGGCGAGTAACTGCAGCACTCCAGAGGCAAATATCATCGGCGTATATGGATAGGCACACCGACTTTGGCAGAACCTTTACCAGACCAATGAGGGCAACATTGAACAATGTGGGGCTTAAAACACCTCCCTGAGGTACTCCACAGTAGGTGTAATGCAAATGTGTTTTGAAAAAAGTGGGTAGAGTCTTATGTAAGGTATCCTATAACGTCAGGTCCTTCTTTTCTTTATTCTTTTCTTGCATGACGATAATGGAACTAATGTCTTAGATGCTAACCATTGGACTTTCTCAAAACCTTTTCTCAGCATAAGCCACGCTGTCCCAGAATCGCAAAGGTTTGTGTAGAATTCAACGTCTCTTCAGTAAAGGAAACAAGCTTCTAGAATGCAGCCGTCAAGACGTTGAGTTTTGCTGGCATAAAATTGTACATTTTCAAACTGTATACCATTAGCAGTGTTTAAAACGTGTCGGTTACGTAAATCTCGATGGCAGTACTTCTGACAATGGACAAAGGATGCGTTGCGCGAATATCACCTGCTTTGCGTTGGCAAACATATCGTGACGGGATGCCTTTTACGGGAGTAAAAAGTTTCCGCTAATTTATTATTTTATTTCTAGAAGCACTCAACCTCGCAGATAGGTCCACTGATTGGGTTAATTTTGTTCGGCTTGCCTTTATTTGCGCAACCACTTCAATTGCTGAAGCTTCACAAGAAACCGTTTAGATGAGGGCTACCTTCTAACACTGTTAATAATTAAGAATCCACAAACGGCGACAGCGCCAACCGATGAGCACCGCAACGAAACCGGAGGACCACAGCCTTATGAACATTGTCGATCAAAAAGCAAATATTACGCGTATCTTAGGCACAACACCAATGCGTAAGTAATATGTGGTGTTCCTTTAATAGAAAATACATAGACACGTAATTCTGTAGAGCATAGCGTTTCTTACGCTACGTTGGAACTGCGGTGCTATGCACGAAAAAGCAATCTGCCGACGATATGGTGCTGCCACCTGGCAGTTGCCCGGGGTTCTGCACAATCTCCAGCAGAAGACTTTCGTCGTTCGACGAGATTTGCAGCGAAGAACGCAAATACGCGGTCAATATTTTTTTTTCTTTACTCTAAGGAGTTTCGCTGACGTCTTTGTTTCTGGGCGAAATGTGAAAAATGTACAAGAGCTTCGCTGCATGTAGATTCCAACAGTTCGATGTGATATATTACTTTATTCTTACATCACACCGTTGTGGAGGCCGGCGAGCCGTTCCATGTTGAGGATGTTGGCAACGTGGACGTGCCGCAGGAACTTGCGCTGACGTATGACTTGCTCGGGGTCCGATCTGCCGCTTCCATAAGATGTCATCTTAGCGTGCTTCTCCTTGACAGCCTGAAAAATGTAGAGGAGGGTGAAGCGTTAAAGGCAGCTGTGAGAGTACATTTATTAAACCGAGGCATTCTTTGCCTTCTTTTCTTTTCGGCCGACCTCTGTCCTGTGTAGACAATGACTTTGTTGACTTTCATGAACAGCGCTTAGACGGCACGTAGAATAGCGGCGTCAAAACAGGGCACTTACTAACAACCACTAGTTTATTTCGGCGTGCAGGAATGTGTACCCTCATGAAAACAAATAACATTTTTGAGTTGACATACCAAATATAGCAGGGCATGGTACACAGACGTCCGGTATTAATACTAAAGGCTGTCCTTAAATTTCAGTGTGTATCAAGAAGCCCACACCAAGATACTTCTTTAATAACCTTGCTGCTTGGTGTGTATAAGGGGCTTTCCCGCCGCGGTGGTCTCGCTAAGATACCCGGCCGCTGATCCGCAGGTTATGGAATCGAATCCCGGCTGTGGCGGCTGCATTTCTGATCGAGGCGAAAATGCTGTAAACCCGTGTTCTCAGATTTGGGTGCATGTTAAAGAACCCCTGGTGGTCGAATTAACCGGAGCTCTTCACCATGACATTAAAATCCACATATCAATCAATCAATATGGGGCTTGAAGAGTAAAACGTTTTGTCATCACGAAGCTTTAAGGTAAGCTGCAAGACCAAAGAAAACATGCTTCATGCTACAAATAGGTCTATTGAAACTTTCCGAATAGTAAATTCCTGGGAATGTTATTTCGACGCATCTTTCAAAGGGAAGTGGGGAATGGATGTCCCCGTGCTATCTTGGACGTGGTAGTCATGCTTCTTCATCCGTACACGCGAAGTTGTTATAGGTGGAAAATAGTCTAAGCTATTGCGACTTCTCATGTAGTGTAGGAATAATTCTCTTATAATGTAGCTATATTGAATGAAAAAATCTGAGTACAAAAAGAAAACTTGACGAGGTATATCTGCATTCCCAGTTACTGGCATAACACCCTCCTCGATGCCAAGCTGGGCGTAACCAACTGCGCTCAACTCCTGCAGACCTCTTGGCATTTTTTTATCCTTGTCTTCTAATTGGAGTGACAGAAAACTAGCCTAAGAAGAAGCATACCTGATCCTAATCCTCGTAGTACAGTGTGATTCATCGTAGAAGTAGGCTTTCTAACCTGCCAAACTATTTTGAAAACATTTAAAGCGACATCCGTAGATCACTCATACAACTTGAAATTTGACCATCGGTTGCCACAGACCCACGGCGTCGGGTAGGACTGATGCAAGTAATCATCACCATCACATGATGACGTCACCATGCGGCATTATCATGGCTGTCAAATATCGGGAAAGTTTGTTTTGTCATCGTGTCATCACAAATTAAGGTCTGACGTCATGTTACGTAACAGCCACAAGAAGCCATTTAGAGCTGATTCAAGGCAAACGACACATGTTTCTTTGCAATCAGGTATACAACATATAGCTCAGTATTCATTACGATAAAGAAAACCCCTAGACAAGCATTGAGACTGTGTGACGGCTGATAAACCTCCTGCGAAGAATGGCAGCATCTAACCACGCGTTCCCGGTGAAGATTAGGTTGAAGTTGCTTTGCACTACACACGCGGGCTTCGAATCTCCGCGCTTGCGTTTCCCGCTTTCGTACATAAAAGGAAGACCCGCTGAGTGACTCATTCAGTTCATTCAGCACGCAAAGCGAAGACACCAGGAGCACCGCAAGAGAAGCAAGAAAGCAACGCGCAACGAAAGGAACAAATTCGTCTTTGTGAAGATGGTCGTGAAACAGCTTCGCTGGACATTCACTTTTTGGGAAGACCGTCAATCTTTAGTGAAGTAAACCTAATGAAATACGAATCAGGATGACATGGATCATGCATCGAAGCCCACCGTATACATACCTGGCGGCTTACATTTTTATAATACATTCGCTTTTGCACGGAAATCCATATCTGAGAATGGGCCGCAGCTTTCGAAAACAACAAAGCGCATACCTCTATGGCGGGCCAGTTCAGCTGGAACTCGATCATGGCTCGCAACCAGTCGCCGAAGCCCACGGCGGGCCACTTCTTGGAACCCAGGTGGAAGTGGGCGTAGTTGCACTGCAGTACCTCGAAGTCGCTGAAGCGCTGGTCTCCCGCCGAGCGCAGAAGCAGCTCGGCCGGCGGACACTCGGTCAGAGAAACGTACTCGTCCAGGAACGCGGCGGTCAGGTCCCTGAGAACATGCCATTTGTTTGGCACAGATCGATCGCAACTGCATCTTCCTACCCAACACTGTCCACGAGTCCTGCCAAACACTCCACTAGACCACCTCGGGATCCTGTTATGGTAGTGTAGCGGTTGTGTTGCTGGACTGCGGACTCGAAGGTAGCTGGATTTTCGACGGTAATAAAAATGCTGGTGGTCTATACTTAGGTTCAGGTGAACGTTAGAGAAAACCAGGTGGCTGTAATTCCCTGAGCCCTCCCCTGTGGCGTGTCATAATCAAGTTTTGGCTTTGGGAAGTACAACTACAACAGTTATTATTAGTATCATTACAAGTGCATGTGTCACTACGTAAACTTAACGGGAAAGGGCTTCAGCGTGTCACAATAATTGGGACGTTAACTGTTTTACCGGGTTAGCCAGGCCGTTACCAGGAAACTTTTTCGTGGTGGAAAAGGGGAGGCTGACATTTTGCATGTCTATGCGTGTTTATTGTATGCGTAAGGGCATGCATGTGCATACTATATATAAGGATTTCGGAAAGGGTGGTAAACGCCGTCAAAGCACCCCTCTGGCCTGTGGGAATTCAGAGCGCTAAACCAGACATTCACAAGAACGAGATACATGGAATGTTTTTGTAAATGTATGATTTCGTGCTGTAATGTTGCCGAAAGCAACGCGTCATCTCGCCGAGTATCAAGTTTTGTTATAAGTTCAGCCGTTCTGCCACAACAAACGCCGTCAGAGACGGCTTAAGTATTAGAATAACATTGATAAGTTTAAGCATAACTTAACGGTTAGGTAAATTGAATTGTTTTTATTTCTTCTGATTATAACAGAAAGAAGCAGAGGCTAAAGGCCATGTGACAAAGGCTTCTGCTCCTACGACAGTTCGGCACGCAGGCCGTAGATAGCACAAGTCAATACAAAGTATACTGTACGGACATATTCCACTGAATAGTCACGAAATTAAAAGAACTTGTGTACAAAAAACTGGAAAAGTGAGAATAAATACAGTATGTCTGCAAAGAAACAACAACAAAAAATGTTACATAATACACTGATAGGTCATTTTGCCCCCTAGTCAACAACTAAAATTTGAATTTAAGGCACGGTAATTGAAAATACACACAGCAGCTTTGTCAGACAAACTCAATATTTTGTGAAATTAGCAATGTTTTAAATGATTCACTTGACGCTTTCCATAACTTCGTCGTGAAATTCATGTATTCTATCGAGTAGTGAAGTGCTTGGTAACTTTGTAACTGTCTGTCATAATTTGTTCTTATTTTTGGTGTTTTCAGATAGTGTTGCCTAAAGCTGTAACGTGAGTTGGTGGGTGCATCCGTGATATAGTGCGTCCTGTTTTGTTTCATATGTTGCATTAACTTGTAATAGTACACCTGATTTGCCTTTACCATAGAGCACTTGATAAAAAAAGGCTGTGTTCCGAAATTCTGTAAAGGTCCACGATAACCTTCAAATGCCCGTAGGACTCTTTTTTGCAGCGCAATCAGCTTCTTATAATTTTTTTGTGTGGTCGTGCCCCAGATTAATATGCAGTAAGTTAGTCGGGGACCACGAAGACGAAGTGATAGCAGAACGTTCTTTGCTTTCTGTGCTCCTGCAAATTAGGTTTTTCCAGCCGTGAAAAGCTATTTACAGTGTTGAGGACAACATCAGCTGTGACGCCTGACAGCAGAAAGTGGCGTGACCGTACTGAACGCCGACGTTTCACCATCACCGTGGCGGACGGAACCAGCCAGGATGTGCAAGCATGGCAAGGGCCACCTTTCCCACAGCGTGGCTTCGGAACCGACGAGCGTGTGAGTCAACCTGGTTATACCATGGTTTCTTACATCAGGGCACCAACACTCGTTTTGGAGGCGATGAGGAAACCTGAAGACATGTCGAACGAAGTAAGCTCTGCGAAAAAGGTGAGAGTGGAAGAGCATACGGACAACATGCAGGAGGGGACATCGACCTACTCCTTTCTTGATGAAGATATTGAATTTAATGAGGAAGCAGATCCTTTCACTCAAGTGACATATAAAAAGAGTAGATTTGAGGGAATTCCTGTGGTATTCCGACCAATAGAGGAAATGAAAACCTTCTGGAAAGTAAACCCAAACGTTGTAGCCTCGGAAATTGTTGCACTTGCTAAAGAGAAAGTGCGTTCTTTCCAAGTGAACAAAGATGGAAGTTTCTCAGTCACCGTGAGCTCTCTTGCTTCAGCCAAGAGCTTGTTGTCTTGTGCGCAGGTGGCTGCTTGCTGGTGAAGCCATTCATTCCGGAGTCTTACATGCGAAATGTAGGCAAAATCAGACATGTGCCTCTAGAGTACACAAAAGAACAACTTACAGAATATTTAAGAGAGGCAGGAATGATGTCGGCTAGACGTCAGACTCGTTACATGCGACAAGAAGATTGCACTGTAGCATCGCACCCACTGAGAAGTGTGATTTTACAATTCAGATATAACAGACCTCTTCCAGAGAAAGTATTCCTTGGATTTACAAGCCATCCAGTTGAGGAATACCTTGGCCCAGCAAGACGCTGCTATAATTGTCAGAGGTTCGGACATTTGGCAAAAATTGCCGAGGAACAAGGCGCTACAAAATATGCGCTGAAGACCACCATCACAAGGACTGCAAATCGATAACACAACCTAAGTGTGCCAATTGCAAGGGGCCCCACGCTGCGTCGTTCTCTGGATGCCCATAGGACAAGGTGGCTTCTCTTCAATGTCAACATGACATCATCTACGGTCGCACGCAACAGCATGACGCGCCTGAGCCCAACACGAACACCATGAACCCTGCATGGCCTCCTCGACCGCAAGCACCTAAACGCCAGAACCATGTAATGACGTACGCGCAAGCTGCGAGAGGACAACGAAAGCAAGGCAAAAGTGCGGGGACATCAACAAGCCAGCAGCAAGCTCGACAAGAGTCTCAGGAGGGACCTCAAGAGAAAAGTAACCACGTTAAGAAAGCACTAGCACTTCGCGTCCAGTAAGTGTAACGCAACCAGAAAACTCCTCTGTGTCGATAGCTCATCTTGTCATACCAATGTTATTCTCGGCTTTAAAAGCCATACTAGCCTCGATCACACAGGCTAACAACCTTCCTGAGGTCAAAGCCATCTTCTCGAAGGAACAGGTAGTGTTACAATTAGCAACAACAGTCACTGCGCAGGCAAAACATGAATAATTGTTATCAAAATGTCGCGATCTTCCAATGGAATGCGAATAGTGTTAGCCCTAAGTGTGCAGACTTCCGAAAATTTGTGGCTCAGAGCTCCTTTCCAGTGTTATGTATTACAGAGGCCGGGGTAGACACCACTTTTCGGTTATCGAACTACGTTGTGTATATGTCCTCTAGATCTACAGGACCGAGCAGAGCGATGATATGTGTGAGAAAAGATCTGCCATCAGTACAGTTGAATGCTACATCATCGGATCATCCAGAATATGTAGCATGTGAGGTTAGATTTGGTCGAGTAAATATAACAGTAGTCAGCGTTTATCTCCAGCCTTCCACAAATATCTCGCTTTCTGCATTGACATCTCTTTTCTAGACATACACGAAAGCTGCGAGATATTGCGGAGATTTCAATGCTCACAATGTCATGTGGGGAAGTGCGTACTGCGATCATCGCGGAAAGGACCTACAAAAAGCAATTCAGGATAGTTCATTATGCTTGTTAAATGACGGTTCAGTGACGTTCCTACGAGGTTTCAATTACTCGAGTTGCCTAGACCGCATGCTCTGCTCACATGATATTGCATCTGGGGCGTCATGGCGAACAGACATTGAAACAAGGGGTAGTGGTCATTTACCTATCCTAATACAGCATCCAAAACTACGCTTTACCAAATATAGGCCCTCAGCAAAGATAACTAACTGGCAAGCATTTCCTTATCACATATCACATCAAGCTGATACTGTTACTGACACTGACAGCTTAGTCTCACTCATAGAAAACAAATTAAATAAGTGTTCCAAGTTCGTTAAAATTCCTGAAGGTTACGTTGGAGTAGACGCTCAATACGAAATACTTAGGGCCATTCGCCGCAGAGCTCAAAGAAAATACAGACGCACGGGTCTACTTGAAGATTACCGCGACTGTCAAAGAGCGCATGACCGCATGAGACGACAACTGGATAGACTAGGGAAAAAGTGCTGGCGGGAATTCTGCACTTCACTAACGCCATTAACACCCGAGTCAAAATTATGGAATGTTCTACGCTCTTTAAGGGGGTGCAGTAACACATCAACAACCATTTAGAGCCTCAGCTTTAGTGAAGAATGTACCGGAAACAACCGTTGCGGACGAATTTTGTCGGCATATTACACGACCTAGTGCAGCCGGGCACACGCCTCAATACATTAACTCTGTTGGAGATAATAAAGCATTGATTACTTTTTCTCTCGATAGACATCATGATGACCTAGATCATCCATTGTTACTGCGAGAATTAAATAATGTTCTTGCAATGTGCCAACAGAAGACAGCAGCTGGTCCTGATGGGATAACATATGCAGCATTAAAAAACCTGGGTCCTGTGGCCACATATACTTTGTTGAAGATGTTTAATAATGCATGGACAACAGAGTGCCTTTCACCCACCTGGAAAGTTGCAAGAGTGGTCCCAATTCTCAAACCCGAAAAAACGCCTTTCCCCATAGATTTTTTCCGTCCTGTCAGCCTGACTAGCTGTCTTTGTAAACTTAAGGAAAAGATGAGAGGCGCTAGACTTCAGTGGTGGGTGGAATGTACGAATGTGCTTCCAGAAAATATGGCAGGCTTTCGCAAACGCCGCTGCACCATGAATGCCATTCTAGACATTGTAACTTATGTAGATCATGAGAGGAGCAGTGGAAGAATCGTCGTTGCTGTATTTTTAGATATAAAGCGAGCATTTGACACAACCAGTCACGCTCATGTACTACACGGTTTAATTCAGTTAGGAGTAGTAGGCAGGACACTAAGATGGATTGCAGAATTCTTAAGAGACAGGAAAATCTTCATTGACACGGCTGACAGTAAAAATAAAGAGCATGAAGTTAGTCAAGGCGTCCCACAGGGTAGCGTACTAAGCCCATTTTTTATTTAATTGCGTTATGGCTGAAGTATTCTATATCTTACCTACTAGTTTGAAATATTCCATATATGCAGACGATCTGTGCATTTGGGCATCAGACACGAGAATTCAAGCAGTTCAGCAAAAACTTCAAGATGGGCTGACAATAATCAATGGCTTTTTTAAGAGCAGAGGCATGATTCTTTCCCATGAGAAAACGTCTGTACTTCCGTTCACAAGGAAATGCCTTAAGAAATTCAAACTTCAGATAGACTCTTTGCTTACAACTTGTGCGGCACCACAAATTTTTAGGGGCTATTTTAGATAGACGTCTGTGTTGGGCACCACAGATAAAATCATTAGAGGACAAATTCAACTCCCTATTCAATATATTACGTCGACTGACCGGAGCGAGATGGGGTAGTTCATGTTCTTATTTATTGCGTGTACATGCAGCAATAATTTGACAAAGAGTAGCTTACTCTGCCCCGGTTTTACATGGGATATCACGTAACTTAGAGGAGAGGATTCAAAGTTTATTGGCCAGAAGCCTTCGTATATGCCTTGGTGTACCGCGAACGTCTGCCAGTGCTTTAGTAATTGCGGAGTCTCGTCAACCGACTTTCCATGCTATGACATTTACGGAAACTTGCCGGCATTATCTTCGGTTGGCAACTCAACACGCTAATCTTCCCCTATACCGAGCTATTCAGGAGAGATCAGCTGCAAGAATGCATAAAAATATTGTAGAATTCAAGAGTTTACTGTCTACGCACGAATACTGGCCTCCATGTCATCCCACCCACCATGGCGACTCTCTATCCCAGATATTACAACTTCGATTCCGGGAATAAATTGTAAGAACGATCTGCCCATAATAGTAATAACGCAATTAACTTTAACACACCTTTATACTAACTATGAAGAATATATTCACGTGTACACCGACGGATCATGTCTGAATCGAAGCTCTACGTTGGCATTCTTTGTACCTGCATACCAAGCGAGAAAAGCTTTTAAACTCAGCCATTTCACAACATCCACAACGGCAGAACTCTATGCAATACTCTGTGCTTTACGCTTCATATGTTTACAGCCAGGTCCACTTCAATGGGTAGTTATCAGTGACTCACAGTCCTCATTAGTTTCTTTAAAATGAATCAGCTTGGGAAACAAAGCTAGTGAGCTCGCATATGAAATACAGAGGACGTACGCTATAGCAAATAATTTAAACCACACTATGTTCCAGTGGGTGCCAAGCCACTGTGGAATCACAGGAAACGAGATTGCTGATCACATTGCACGTGCAGCACATCAAGAAAATAATATATCACTGCTAGCTCTATCGATGAGCAATGCACGGTGTCTAATAAATAAGATGAGCCGTCAACTGTCTAAGGAAACCTGGTTCGAAAATGGTGCGCAAAACTCTCTGTTGTATAACAATGATCCCGGTATAGAATTGAATTTTCCGTTAAAGGTTAGCCGATCGACAGAAACATCCATCCATAGGCTTCGACTTGGTATAGCCTACACGAAGGCTTTCCTGTATAGAATAAGGAAAGCGGGCAGTCCTACCTGCTCATGTGGAGAAGCTCAAGAAGACGTGGAGCATATTCTTCTGCAATGTAAACATCATGACGTACCTCGAAAGAACCTTTTTCAAAAACTCAATTCTTTGGATAAGCGACCTCCATTAATTGCAAAAATCTTGGGTCCTGGGCCAAAAGGAAAGCTACAAGCCACTGCAGCACGTGCAGTCGTTCACTTTCTGGAGGAATCAGAAATAGCTCAAAAGTACTAAACAAAAAACAAATGTTAACCGCGGTATGTGTCAAAACAAAATTTTCCTGCTTGACTACGATATTTTTGGGAAAACCTTTCTTAAAACATGTCCGTATTCAAGCGACAAGATCACCTTAGACATTTTATTGAACTTTCACGTTTTTGTGTGAACACTTAAATTGGCGTGATTACTTGTGTGGTTTTCTTTTGTTTTTGTTTTTTTTTCACAAACTCAGTGTGGTGCGGACACAGTTCTACGCAGTGTGGACCCATTTCTGTGTGATGTGGACACTCAGTGTGGAAAAACGTGAACTCATTGTGTAAGTGTTGTGCTATGTACATATGTATAGCCTTGTGTTTGCTACAAAATGTGCGATGTTGACTTTTGTGCAAGAGAAGAGGAGTAGCCGGCGCCACGCATTGGCACCAACCCCTCCTTACATTCATTTATTAAAAAAAAAGTTAGTCGGGAGTGAAATAGCAATACTTCAAATAACAGGAATACTTCAAGCCTTTATCCTTGGCTACGGCGGGGCGCACACCACGTGCAGGAACACTCTCCGCGGAAGTCTATCAGCCACTTTGCCATGGCAGCCGACGGTACATTTTTGTGAGTTCTTCCTGGCACCTGGAAAGTTCGCACTGCCATCGCATAATGCCCCGTGTCGTGGTCTGTGGGGGCGAGTGGGATTATCGTTACCACAAACATCTGAATGCCCGCTCGTCTGATGTCGTGGAGCCACAAAACGGTGCCTAAGTGCTGGAGAACACGCTTGCAAGGCAGCTGCTTACGATAGACGATAGCAAACTGTTTATTTTGATTTTCGATGATAATAGTACTATTATTTTCTGGAATTCATGCTCGAAAGTCATGACATGATTATGAAACGCGTACAAAGTGTATGAGCCGAAGCGTATAAAAGAAAAAAAAACGGCAGCATATCCGCAGGGGAATGATGGAGAGTGGGGCGAAGCATCCATCCGTCCATTCGTTCTTGCTTCCGTCCGTCCATGCGTCCGTCTGTGTGACCGTTCATGCGTCCATCCGCCCGTCCGTGCGTGCGTCTGTCGTGCATCCGCACGTCCATCCATGCGTCCGTCCCTGCGTTATTCCATGCATCCGCTCCTGCGTCCGTCCATGCGTCCATCCGTCCGTGCAGCCATCCGTGCGTCCGACCATGCATCTGTCTGTGTGTCCGTTCATCCACCTATTCAACACTTCAAGTACCACCATCTCACATCTTTTCGCCATATATTCCGCATATAGAAGCACCACCATCCAGCGGGCATTCCAAGGACTAAACGAGAGGTGGCACACGCACACTTTCTTACGGCTTGCGCTTCGTGTCTACTTGCCACCTTTTACCACCTCGATTTCATGTTATATACTAGTTCACCGTATTCGTGGCACTGCGGCCCAACGCTCGCTAAACCTTTCTACCTAGGAGGTTACGCCTAGCGAGTATAACGTAGCAACCCTTTCTTGTCAGATAATGTTCAGTGTACATGATAACGGCTGCTGACGGGGTATGAGAGACAGGAAAATTCGGCTTTTAGTTAACGCGCACGTTGCGAATTTTTTATTGTTCAACAACGCACAGGAAAATCTCCCACCGGCACCACCTTGCAGGTCAAAGCGTAAGACATGTTACGCACTACTACGAGGGACGAACGGGTGCCACTTTAAGGAGCTTCGCCCCTAAAACGTAAGGTGCACGGCTCGTCTTCTTACAGCAAATGTATGCGTTAAGGTTCGTATTCTACAATAGGGGATGACACTTATAACGTGTATTTCACCAAACGACATTTCAAACCCGATTTTGGTTGATTGGTACACAACAAGGCCTCCTAATTATAGTAGGGTACAACTTTAGATGTATGGGGCATTTTCTCCTTAATGTCTAACGCAAGCACGCCTGCTCCACCAATGCATGCGAACTCCAGATTGACGTCATGAGTAGGACGGTTGGTGATCTCGCCTTCGAAGAACAACGCTGAGTGCACGAGCATGAGTATTTCTTCAACAGTATAGACGATTGGCTGCTGCGCTTCGGTCGTCTGGGCGAGGCTTTTCCGGATTTCTCAATTTGTGTATGACTCTAGCTTTGAACTCATTTAAGATTACTTACTTGGTGTAGATGATTCCTTCTTTAATTGCCGTGGCCAAGTGCCGAGCCATCCGAGACATCTGGTACGTGGTATTGTAGGCGGCACACGACATTTGTATTTTGAGGCTGAGTAAGACAGAGAAACGAAAAAGTTAAATAAAAAAATAATATACTTATGTCGTTATTTACTTGCTCGGTCGCTGATACAAAGAATTCTGACCTGAGTTTCAGGTTTTAGGCAGGAGTGGGCGACAGTATTTAACAGTGAAAGTCCTCAAACTCACACGCGCACACACACGCGCACACACATGCGCACAAATGCGCACACCCACGTACACAAGCACACACAGGCAAGAACAAATAAAACTGCCGAAGCTTACACTAAGCCGCGCATAGTTTGAAACAGCAAAACTCTACTGCTCTGAAGACTAATCTGGTTGCTTGTATAATAGCTTGTTTCTAGCCCTTAAGCAGGTGACACTAGGTTGTTTCTACATTGACTCTCAGTGCGGAGATGTTCGAGTTCAACCACGGGCACTCACTCACACGACGCGAATGTCCAAACTCCAGGGACATAAATTCGCGCTGGAACCAAGCGTTCGCACCTCTCATAGATCTGTGGGCACATCTTCGTTTCCCGTAGGGCTTCCATCATTTCGGAAGCTTCTTCTGCCAGCCGCCATTTCCTTCCCCGTTCCCTAGCATTTTCCCATTGTGCCTACTGGGGTCTTCGGATCACTGCCATCGCTTCGCGGTCATTTGTTGGGCCTAATGTTCCCTCTGTAATGAAGAAGTTTTAAAATTTTTAGTGCGCCAGTGGTGAGGAATGGGAGTTACGCAACCTCCGTAGAACACATCAGTTTAATGATTGTTTCATGGTAGGGCTCACGGCGCATAGCCGAAAGACCGCCAAAATTGCATCTAGCTTAAACAAATACGCTATTAAAAGTTTTACGACCCATATGAACTTGTCTTGAAGGAAAGCAAAAGTCGTCTTGATTTTCTTCCCAACCGATTGCATTGATTCCTTCCGCCGATCGCTTTCTGCACCTCAAGTGGTTTTACGATGCCGGCGGAATCGGCCCAGCTTTGACCAAGAGGCGATGTGTTGTGATGGCGTTATTACGTAACGTCACAAAGTTTTGCGACATGTGGCGTCTTGATAACATACTGTGAACCATTTTTCTGAGGTTGCCATATTTAGCATCAATTGCTCGAAGTCACTGACGATGAAGTTCTTGCGACTTAGGAGGCCTCAAAACATATTGGCTTAATACCAAAAGTTGAAAATGAGCAGTTCCTGAAGGGGAAACAAATTGAATGTCGTCTTCAAGGCACAAACGTCTTCTGGCTAGATAGGGGAGGGCGAGGCTGTAGAAATATGAAAAACGGCTGTTGATTAGTAATGAGTTTCTTAAGTACACGTTGGAGTCAACCAGTCAGTTTGATGACATCGACTTCATTCATGACTATAGAATAAGGAAGAAGCTGTCGCACAATCGAAGAGATTGACTGGCTGCTTTCACGTGATTGCAATTTGTTGAAATAGGTATGACCGAAAGTGTTTCTGTGACACGAATATTTCGCTTGTTTTCTGTGGTAATGTTGTGCGGGATCCGTGAAACAACGATAGCGAACAGATCCTAGCAAGTGATGCGAGGAACCTACAGCTCCGGTATAAATGTTAGCCAGAGGATTTAGATAACTCTGGTGTGCTCTTGAACGTACGGGCATGTGTGATGACGTCACACTTACCTCTTCTCACGTATGCTCGACGTGGCGATCTCAGAGCGAGCCAGACTAGCGCGCAGTTCCTCGGGTAGCCGCTCGAGGTCGCCGCAAGCGCAGGACTGCATTCCCATGGCGCGGAACGCGTCTCTGATTGAGAAAGGAGATAGCGTGATTACCGGGCACAGACAAGAGTGCTTAACCACACCAGAATATTGCTGTCAGATGGCGCTCAGATCATGTAAGTAAGAATGATGCATAAGAAGGTAAAATTTATATTTTATGTCTCAGCGCAGCAGGTCCGCGTGGCGGTGGTCAAGCAAGGTCTTGGCGCCCCCACGCGGGAGACCTAAGGCCAGGTCGGCGAAAGCTCTGCCGGACTTCTAACAAAGTTGTTACCAACCAAAGCGTAGAGATCTGATTATGAGTAGCACTGTTATTTAAGCCTCCGAAAGATTTACCATTTGGGTTCTTTTAACGTGTACCTATGTCCGTAGGTGTGTGTACGGGCAAGGCGGAAGGGCGTGGGGCACCTTTGCCAGTGCTTTAAGAGGGGTGGGGTGCAAACTTGCCCCCGTACAGAGGGGGGGAGCACAGTCTGTCCCATAGATTGAGTTAATAGAGAGAGGTGCGCTGTGACGAACCTTCGCCCCCTTTTTCCTGGAGGGCAGCCCTGCGACGCCTATGTCTATATCTAAATGCATGAGCCTCCAGCATTTCATCACCTTCATCATCATCATCATTCACTTCCTGACTACTCCCATACATGGCAAATCTCTCGCCCATGTCTGTCAGTCAACCCGGTCCTATGATTTCTGCATGATTCCACGTTATACCTGGAAACTTCTTAATCTCATCTGCCTACCTGGTTTTCTTTATCACCATCACGCACTTGTCTTTCCTGGGAATTCAGTAAGTTACCCTAATGATTATCGGTTATCCTACCTACGCGCTACTTGTTCAGCCCATGTTCATTACTTCTTGATTTCAACTATGATGTCTTTAACACTGTATTGGTCCCTGACCCATTCTGCTCTCTTCCTGCCTCTTAAGATTACACCTAAAATTTTACATTTCATTGCTCTCTGCGTCGTCTTTGATTTATGTTAAACCCTGTTTCTAAGCGTAAAGATCTCTGCTCCGTAGGTCAGTATACTGGTAAGATGCAGCTGTTACGTTCCTCTTGAGGGTTAGTGGTATACCATTCGGGGTGTGAGAATGCTTGCCGAATGTGCTTTACCCCGTCCTTATTCTTCAAACTCTTTTACCACGAAAGTTAAATAACTAGCATTTCACCTCCATAGCGATGCGGCCGCCGTGGCTTTGATTCGATCCCACAGTTTTCTGGCCGAATATTGAACACTCACCACTAGACCGCCACGCTGGGTGAACGCATATGGAACACATTAGGACTAAACCCATCGTTTTATAGCTAACAGATAAGGCTTTATGAGCTGCTATGCTTTAGGGCGTCGGTTCAATTCCCCATCGAGCCCCGCCACGGTGGTCTAGTGGCTGCTGACCCGCAGGTCGCGGGATCACATCCCGGCTGTGGCGGCTGCATTTCCGATGGAGGCGGAAGTTTTGTAGGCCCGTGTACTCCGATTTGAGGGCACGTTAAAGAACCCCATGTGGTTGAAATTTCCGGAGCCGTTCACTACGGCGTCTCTCATAATCATATAGTGGTTTTGGGACGTTAAACCCCACAAATCAATCAATCAATTCCCCATCAAAGCTTATCCGCACTTCGATGCAGGCGAAATACCAGGAGATTTATGCGCTCAATTAGGTGCGAGCGAAGGAAACCCCTTGTGGTTAACACTATCACCCGGTGTCTCCCACAGCTTGTTGCTTCATACTCGTGCGTGGTGCTGCACGCAAGAGAGCAGAATATTTACACTTTGCCTCATTAGAAAAGAACGCCAGCTGTGCACATATTGCACTCAAATGCGGCTCGGAATGCGCGCGAAGCTAGATCCGCCGGCTACCTACAACATTCTTAACCTTAACCATAAGGCGCGCGAAAAAACAAAAACAAAGAAAGCAGGAAGTACAGTGTATGTGCGGGCCAGTTGGCACGCTCTTCAAACTGTTATAGCATGAACTTTAGCAACGGCGGACAAAAGAATACGACACACAAGTTTTGTGTGTCACACCCTCTTTTCCGCCGTCCCTGATGGTTGCGCTATGACAGTTTCACTGGAAATATGCAGAAATATTCGCGAAGTACGTTAAATAAGCCGCACTTATTTCGACAAACCTGAAGCGTTTTTGCAGTATCGTTTTCATTGTCAATTAGAGATTGCTCTTAAATAACCAACAAAATCATTCGAGGACGGCAATTTATATATGTTCTAAGTGAAAATGAAGTGTTTAATTGAGCTATTTACATACAGAAAGGGCGGAAGTGGATCTGCAATGATGTTAGTTTTCTCGGCGTCTCTTCGTATTATTTAATAGTATTTTCCAGAAAAGCTCTTACATTCGCGTTTCATACATGACCAGGTCTGCCGCAGGTATTCAAACAAGCTGCTTTCTCTCACAGACGCCTAGTTATTGCATCATCGCGGCAGGTTTTCCTTAAAATTTCGCAGTACTCTATTTTCGAAGCAGACCAAGCAAAGAGCGATGAACTCTGCAATGTCCCGCCCAACATGAGTGGGACGTCCCGTTTCCTTCTACCTTTCTACGCTGTCGACTTTTCTATAGACAAGCGCTTTACTAACAAATCATACGGGAGCACAATGTCGCATACAAAGTATGTACAGCGCTCAATAGCAAGCGCCAGCGAATCGACATTTTCATTGAGTCCCCACTCACACATTGTCCACGATGTCGACGTGTATCTGATTAGCCTGATTCAGCGCGGAGGTCATGTCGAACGAGTTCCGGCTGAAGTTCCGCACGCTGAACATGAAGACGCTCAGCACTTCCACCCCGGCCCGGAACCACCACTCGCGCACCTGCAGAAAAGAGAAACGAATTGAATTTACTAACAAAGATAGATACCCTGCACTGACAGTAATGAGAACTCCAGTGTTGTGCACGTGATTGTTGCTTTAAAAGTATTAGTACCTTGCAGGATCATTGATCGTTCGATTGCTTTCTTTATGTTGTGGGGAAGAGTCGAGCTCGTACCTGTGCAGGCCTTGGACCAATTGTGCATTGTACATTTGTTCTGTCGAACATTTGTTGTGTTGTTCTCTTCCTACTGAATTTCTGCCAAATTTTAACACTTTTGTCTTTAGAATCTGCCTTGCACACGTTATAGGTAATAAGCAGCCAATTACAATTAACATCCTTTTCACAATCAGCGCATAAAAAGGACAACAACAACAAAAAACAAGAACGTGCACGACTCAAGCGCTGCCTAACAACTTAAAGTTTAATTGAAGAAAACTTGTAATATATATGCAAACATGAAGGCATAAAAAAACCTTTACACCCCTATACCAAACACGTAATCAAGTATGCTGTAGATACGCAATCTGAGCATCTGTGAGAGCGATTGAAGGTTGGCTCACAGACCTCCCTCCTGCTTTACTATTTCACACGCTTCAGCAATTTCACGCGTGCGCTGTCTCTATGTCTCATCAACATGGCGGTTTCGTTAAACTCAGCTGCACAGCCGCACTGCCAGCAATGAAGTGCAAAATGCGGGGATGGTGTATCCTAAGAGTATTTTCTCAATCGCCTGCTGCAGGCACAGTTGTTTGGTGCCCACTAAGCAATACTATTTATTTTGCAAAACTGGCAAGGACCCACAACACTGCCGTTGGGCAACACGCGAACCTGCGCAGAGTTCACTTTGTTGATACATCTGCTGCTGATGGTTATATAAACATGTTTGAGCACTCTGTAATGGGCGGGCCTTTAACACACCAACCTGTTGCGAAATTCGTAATCTTTGACACCTTGCACGATTCTGTACTTCTACCGCACAATATTACATGCTTAAAGAGATTCTGTCTTCTGTATACGTGACAGTCAGATAGCGTGTTTTTTTTTCTTTTTTTGTGGGGTGGCTACAACCTCCCATCCACCTGCCCCACTGGCTCGAGTATGGATACGCTCGCCTTGGACGCCCACCTACCTTTGCGTACTTGTGCGCCCCAACAGCATACACCCGGCGCAGGTCAGTGCTGGTGTCCCTGGAAAAGCGCCTGTGGCCATCGGGCACCAGGCACACGTGCCCAGGCACCGCTCCCAGTGACACGACCCACACGGCCACCCTCTGGCACCTGGCCACCTGGTCACGCCACAGCGGACTCCCCTCGTGCTCTAGCAATTCGTCGGCCGATGGGATGGTGATGTCGTCCTTCTTCACGCCCTGGGTTCCTGGAGGAGGGAAAGGGGGATTGTTGTTTTATGGGAAAGAAAAAAATAGACGTTCATTGCCACAGAAAAACTAAGAAATCAACCCGTATCAATTTTCAGACTGGCTACTCAGTGTTGCGAACAGGGGAGGGCCGAGAGAGAGCGGAGAGAAAGTATTAATGGTGAGCGTGAAGATGCCGACGAAAACACGCCTTGAATGTTCAAAAGCTTTTTACAGTCTCTTGTCTACTTTCGTCTCGTGCATTAATTTGTTCCTCACTTTCGGAATACCGTGTGCTCAGATTTGGGTGCACGTTTAAGAACCCTGCCTCCACTACAGCGTCTCTCGTAATCAAATGGTTGCTTTGAGACGTTAAACCCTACATATCAATCAATAACTTTCGGAATATTGCGCTGGTTGAGGTCCCGACAGAATTTATATGAGCCATGCTGTGCTTAGTAGAGGCTTTGATGTCTGGAATCCACGGTAACGCAGGTGGGCATCATCAGCTGGTATGCACCACAGGAATTGGGTAAATACCACAATACACAGCTTCCACTATGGAGGAATATTGCAACAGTTACACCAACAAATGGCGTCAGCGTTGCCATAGTCACAGCACTGCTACGTTATAAGCTTCACAAAGAGAATTCCCTAAAGAGCTGTCATACAACATATCTGAAGAACTTGCGAGACATAAAAATGCATTCACAACAGCGTTGGGTAGAAGTCATTAGTCAATTACCTGTCCGAGATTGGCCTTGTATGAAGGCTCTAATATAGTATCTCACAAAGGAAAGCCTTAGTATGCGTCATAGCCCAACTGTAAATAGTTCTATCTGGTTAACTCGGACACTACAGATGTATTTATATAAATTATTTTATATTTTTCTTCTCTCTCTTCTGAAGTATTTTAGTCCCTTACCTCATCCCTACGCAGAGCAGCATGCCAGCGGTATATCGACGCCGGCAAAAATGAGTTTTTATAATAAAGCGTCTTTTCGTCTCCCTCTCGATGATCCTGATGAAGGGAAGGCCACGAGCGTCGGTGCTTTATCGGGGTCATCGAAGTGGAGCTGGTTAATTTTTGACAGGAAACCCTTTTATAAACAGAAAACCCTTTTATAACAGAGTCCACCACAGCTCCACTGAAATATTTAGGTCACGGATATGACGTAGTAAAATGCACACGAACAGACAGCAAAGAAATAAACACGAGAAAATATTCGTATCTGGGAATCAAACTTACGACCCCCCGCTCCCTAATGCTATAGTGAGCTAGAATAACCTATCAGCGAAAACCAGTTGCCGGCGAACACGAACAACACGACCACAGTCTTGAAGTCAACCTATAGAAAAGAGAAAAAGAATGCCCTGCATCAACTATTATCCTGCTTCGCCAAACATTAGTCACCGATTACTTTGTTATTCCTAGCTGCCATGTTAGCCTTGCGAAAGCCCCCTCTGGATTACTAAAATCTAGATGGGAGCCGACAGGTGGAAACAACGTATTGGGATAGTCATGGTTAACAGTGGAAGTGTCTCAGACTGGCTGGCCGACGCTTCGATAGGAGGACCTATTTTTTTCAAAGACGCCGTTTCATCCTTGGCGTGTTAGTTTTAAAGGGGTTTGTGATGACGACAACTCTTGGTCTGAAGCCAGTCTGAAGCGCTTCCACTGTTAACCCTGATTATCCCACTCTAGATTACTCGATTGTTGAAAGTCAGAGATCCCTCATTGTTGCGTTCTTTACTACCTGCATGGTTTGGTCCAAGTAAGTTGCCTATATTATGAAAATTTTTCGATAACTCAGTTTAAGTTATCCATAAATGCTGTGTTTACTTGTACAATACGGGCATCACGCTTAACATGTTTAGTTGATACACCAAGCATTACCATCGGATCGAATAGCAATAAGCATTCACGTGGGTAAACGTGCCCGCACACTTATGCACACAGGTAGACGTGTGTTCAGAGTTTGAAATAACGTGCTTACATTCGCTCACGCACGATCAAGCATAGAAAAACCCAAATGCACGCCTGCAAAAACATACACGCGAAAACGCTTACACGTGTACGCGCATAAATGAGCACGCGCTGAACTTAGGACACAAGCAATTTCGACTTGCCGTGGTGTCCTTACGTATTGTGGGACGTGCAACGCTGTGTAAGCACGAGGTTTCGGGTTCGACTACTACCCTCTGCGGCTAAATTTTCAGGAACGAAATGCAAAAAAAAACGTATGTCTGTTTTCAGCGTTTGCTTTTTATCAATAAAAAAATAAAAAATGCGCCGGTCCCACGTACAGTGGGAATCGATGATATGCGAAGCACGAATGCAGAAGGTTGATATCTCCTTTTAAAATCAACGCAACCTTACGAGGCGGAGGCAAATTGTGCCGTACATGACTTTCAGGTCATGATTATCATGTTTGGATGTGTCATTTACCTTCGTCATTAATTCACGTCACGTGATACAAAATTTGGTAATGTGGAGCTAGCGAAACAGCCGTGAGCGCGTCATGAGCGTGGCATGTAGTCATGTTGTTACCCGACACGCATCTCATGATTACCACGTTTGCACCAGTCACATACCTTCGTCATCCATTCACGTCCCGTAATACCAACTTTGGTACATGTGAAGCTAGCGAAACGGCCACGAGCGCGTCGTGAGCACGGGCATGTAGTCATGTTGTTACATGACAAGCACCTCATGATAATCACGTTTGTACCAGTTACACCTTCATCATCTATTCACGTGACGTAATACCAAATTTGGCATATGCGAAGCTAGCGAAACGGCCGCGAGTGCATCATGAGTGTGGCATGTAGTCCTGCTGTTACATGACACACATATAATGATTTTAATGTTAGGGTCTGTTGCTTGTGTTCACTATGCAGTCATGTCATATCACACTGGTTTTGCAACATATCAAGTGAACGAAACCACCGCACTAGCCGAAGAGACTCGCTGAACTCTCTCGCCCGCCAGGCGTCACCGCTGGCGCTATCACTCTACCAACCATGATAATGATAGTGGTGATCACCGCTCGCGAACACAACGCCACCTACCGTTCAATAGTTGTCGCCCCCGGCTGTGGCGGCTGCATTTCCGATGGAGGCGGGAATGTTGTAGGCCCGTGTACTCAGATTTAGTTGCACGTTAAAGAATCCCAGGTGGTTGAAATTTCCGCAGTCCTCCACTACGGCGTCTCTCATAATCATATGGTGCTTTTGGGACGTTAAACCCCACAAATCAATCAATCATCACTAGTTGTCACCCCCGAAATAGGGCTTCCGTGCGAGGCACACGTGCTACGTAGCGCAAAACACTACACAGGAGGTGTCAGCACCCTCACACATGCTGAGAAGCCTAGTCAAGCTTTGCTGAGCTTCTACTTTTAATGCTGTCTTCTTCGTGAAATAATAAGTAATTGAGCTTGATTGAAATGAAAAACGTGAAAAGGTGAGACACGTTAGAGCCGGGCCTGTTTCGGTGGAACAGTGCCTACAGTGCTCGACTGCTGACCCGAAGGTCCCCCCGGGTTTGATCCTGGCTGCAGTGGTCGCATTTCGGCAGAGGCGAAATGGTAGAGGCCCGTGTACTGCGTGATGCCAGGGTACCATGAAGAACACCACCAACACTATCATCATCATCATCATCATCATCATCATCAGCAGCAGCAGCAGCAGCAGCAGCAGCAGCAGCAGCAGCAGCAGCAGCCTGATTACGCTCAGTGAGAGCAAAGGCCACTTCCATGTTCCGCCAATCAACGTGGTCTTGTGCTTTCCGCTGCCACGTTATACCTGCGAACATTCGGCAGTGAAGCTCCTTATGGCGTGGGTCGGGCGTCTCCAGTAAGTAGCAGCCACCTCTCGTTTTAGTCCTTGGAATGTCCGCTAGATGGCGGTACTTGTATATCTTGAATACACGATGAAAAGATGCGAGATGGCGGTACTTGAAGTGTTCACTAGATGAACGGATGTGGATGGACAGACATAGAGACAGAAAGGCGTGTGGACAGACGGACGAACAGACAGACAGACAGACAGACACGTAGATAGATAGATAGATAGATAGATAGATAGATAGATAGATAGATAGATAGATAGATAGATAGATAGATAGATAGATAGATAGATGGATGGATAGATAGATAGATAGATAGATAGATAGATAGATAGATAGATAGATAGAATAGATAGATAGATAGATAGATAGATAGATAGATAGATAGATAGATAGATAGATAGATAGATAGATAGATAGATAGATAGATAGATAGATAGATAGATAGATAGATAGATAGATAGACGTACAGACGGGCGGACGGACGTGGCCAGCACATTATTCATGGTTTGCTGATAGAACCCTTCGGACCTTCGCCCCACTCATCATCATTCACTCAGCTATATACGCTGTGACTTTTTACTCAAAAGATTGTGTATAATATTAGGAAAGCATTCAATCAATGCCAGCAAGCCCGAATAAATGCGTTACCGAGTGATGCAAAGGTTGGGCCCGTAGTATCTCATAAAACCTCACCACGGAGCTTGGCAAATTATATGAGTGAATAACCGACTAATATTTTTTTCCACCTGCAATATGAGAATATCAGTAAAGGTTACACGCAAATCAGAAAACAATTCTGCGGAAGCGAAATTCAAACTGATTTCAGTAACTACTAGAGAAAAGATTTTTCGAAAATCGAGATATCCCACTAGCACCTGGCTGGTGTCATTTCGAAGACTTTCGGTGTTCCTGTTACTTTCCATTAAGCAATTATTCACATTCATGCGCCATCTCAATTTGCGTGCTCTCCCATAGTAGAGTACCTAGTACTCTAAATCGTTACCCACTCTTTCTAAATACACTACGGCTTCATGAAATGCGAGGTTCACGGGACAGCTTCTCACTCTCCCATAGAAGAGTACCAAGTACTCTAAACCATTAGCAACTATTTGAAAGCACTGTAGTGGCTGCTTGTGCCCACCAGCCCGAGACCGGCCCAAGCATAAT